GAGAGAGAGAGAACAAAAAAAAGATCGATCGGAAGAGAAGAAAGTCGATGGAAAACGATGGAAGATGAGGGGAAAGAAAAGTTTTTTTCTTTTTTTGCATATTTATTTATCGTTACGATTAATGAGAAAGGTTAGAACAAGGAGAAAAGTAAAAGACTTGACTTTTTTTTTCTTTCTTTCTTTAAATATTTATTCGATCCTTATTATATATAAAGGCCAAGGCCTTCTTTCTTAAGATTCGAAACTTCTTTAGATGTGTTTTGTGAAGGTGCATTCCTTTCACCAAAGCTTTCATTGCTAAATATAATCACAGAATTTTTTTCTATCATATTTATTTGTATGTATATAGAATTTTTATTCGGCTTATAATTACAATATTTTTCGGACGCAAATTGTACATCATTCGAATATTCCTCTCAAATAATACACCCAATTGATGTGAGAAAATTCCGGGTCAGTGCAATACACTATTAATTTTCCAGTGACAGGATACTTTTCTTCTTGAATTTTTTCTTCCTCGTTCTGCTCGGTCTCCTTAATATTCACGTTAACAACGGTACTCTGAAAAGGTATATATTATCCCGGAATAGGATTGAATTGGATTGAAACATTTCAATTTAATTTTAAAATAATTTAATTAATTTTTAAATAAAAAAAATAAAGAAAGAAAGAAAGAAAGAAGAAACCCGAGTTGATTTCAAAATTACCTGTTTGGAATTCAAAGTGATCGATGAAATGTTCACCGTGAAATTGTCAGGATCGTCGACGATAAAATTGAAGGTCTTTGTTTTTCTGAAGATATTTTTGAAAGTAATAGAAGCAAAAGAGGTTCGAGTGATTATGTAAGGACCCATTGGCTTTGGCAAGGAACACGAACCGATCAACGGGAATCTAAAGTTAAAACAATTAATTTTTCAAAATTTCAATTTGATTTGTTTCTTATATCTCGATATCCACGAATCATTTCTCTTCTCGCAAGGAATAAGTTTGATCTTTGATTAGTTTCTTACACGAATTCTCCAGCAGTGATCGAGGACGCTGTCAACGTGGCGGACACATTTTCAACGTCGTACGGCTCGAAAATTACCTTGAGTGTGTACACGTCTTTTTCGTAAACGTTGACAATTTCGGGACACGTGAAACAATTGTTATCCACCTAAAAGAAAAAGTAAGGAAACAGCGAGACTTAAATTTATTCCATTCGTATGAATTATTTGAAAAATTATATTCATAATTTTTCATGATGATTCTCGCGTACTTGTATTACAAATTGGGCAATCTCTGAGGTTAAGTTTTTCAGAATGAGCGAAAACTCGGTAATATTTCCCAAATAAGCGTTAACACGTGTGACGTTCTCCGGGGGTGCTTTAACACCTTTCAATTGCAGTTCGTACGGGAACAAGCCCATACGAGTGGAATAGATATTCATAATGACAGACTCTTCGCACGGCAGCAGAGGATTAAAGAAAATAGAGAAATATTCCTACGCGATTTAATATAACATTTCCATTAATATGATTTAAAGGGAATAAAAGGGAGACAACGATTACTTACGTACGAGTACGGCGGCATTACTCTTGGCACTTTGACGGTAATAAATGGATTGGGACAATCTGCTGTAAGTAGAATCATATGTTCCAGAGGATTTTCGTATTTCAAGGGGTAACAAATCTCGGATCGAACCGTTGTCGTCAATTTAATGGATGTGATCACTTCCGGCTCCGTTACCTCGTACTCTATCTCGTAGAATTGATATTCTTGCTCCTCGGTGGTAAACGTTACCTGTATATATCGAAACAGAATTTTAATCAAAAATCCCGCCGAAATTTAAGATGTTAAAGACACGTTACCTTGAAATGAAAGTTCCACTTCTCGTAGCAATGAAACACGGCGTGATAGTCTCGTTGACTGTTCGCTGGAACGTCGAATTTCTCGTTCCCTACGAAACTATATATAGGAACCTGTACCCCACGGAAAAAGAGGAACGAATATAAAAATAAGGTTTCACGTTCGAATATTTTTCCTATCCAAAAATCAAACCTTATGATGATGATCATCGTGATTATAATCTTTCAGGTATTCGATCTTACAATAAAATCTCTGCTGTCTGTCCAACCAATTGTGTACGGGCAAAAGTTCGGTGTATTTCATTTTAGCGGGGATTCGACGAACAATATTCTCTGAAACTTGGGGAGGCAAGCTTTTTCCACGAAGGATGTATATCAAATACACGTTTTCTTCCGGACACTTCAATACCAATGATCCCTAATAACACGATATGACAAAGGATAAAGTTTTTGCAAGAGCAGTTTTGCAAATTTTAGTTTCGTTGAATAGTGATTTTTAATCAAATTTATTTATTATCTTCTTTACCGTGTGCAGCGTGTTCTCGGTGTTCATGAAAATGGGTGCATAAGTGACGACACAAGGAGCCAATTGCAAAGGAGGGACTTGCAGGAATGGATCAGTGGAGAAATAATCGCCGGTTGTTTCGACCTTCAATTTCCAGGGGGCGTTCGAGTCGTTCATTATGATGACAGATCGGGTTTGCTTTTCTCTTACAAACGATTCGAAATCGATCGTGTCTATGGGATCTGGCAATTTGCAACACGCTCCGGAAACTTTAATGTTCAGAGATTTGTGTTTTTCGATTTCTAAAAATGCCTGCCGAACAATTGTAAGAATATATATATATGTCTTTGCGACAATCTTTGCACGTGTACATTTTCGTAATGCATTGTTCGTAAGAATAATAAATGACAATTTATCGCGAAGGCCGAGTCAGAATGAGTCATTGAATAGAAATTAAAGACACGACTCGGGAATATAATATTTTTCAATAGTACGTTTTAAGATTGGACGAAAGTTACAATTATCGAGTCGTGGAATCATTTCTCTCGAAATAATGTTCGATCGGAATAACAATTGCGAAACAATTTTACATCCATCAAACATCATCTTCTTTATATTACTATTCTTTACACAACTTGAGAATCGGTCGAGTCAATTTTCCTTCTCGATTAAAAATAAATTCCTATTTAAGAAGATGGATTATGGAAATAGATCTCATTAAGAGATCGTCTCGCATATTTGTCACGCAGAAAGACGACAGGGAACGAGATCGCGAACTCACCTCACCCTCGATTATGTTTTTTTGCTCGAAAGGTTGGAACTTCACCACGAAAACGATATGCGTGTCGACCGAGCAGTAACCGGACATAGGGATGATTTGGAAATCTTTCGGCAATTTCGTTGTGTTCCACTTGAATCTATTTGTTTGTTAACGATATTTATCAACGATAATCCGAATCAAGAAATTACTACTGATAATACGAAAGATGAAAAACGAAGAAACGAAGTATCCATGGAGGATTAAAAAAAGCGAACTTTGTTCCGACCAACCTTGATCCCAGATCTCCGATGTTCATTAGAATCACCTTAGATTCTTCGATACAATCCTGAATCACGGTGCCGAAAAAAATATGTCTTCTGTTTAAGAGAAATTCCGTCCCTACGCAGCTTCCACGAACCAGGAACAACGGTAGGATGATCGAATTTGTTTGAAGAGCGATTTTAATCGCGAACGGCCTCACCCTGGCCGTGGGCTTGAAGAAGATCATCACGTTAACCGTCTTATCCGGTTTCAGAATAACATTGGTCACCGGCTTGATCTTCAATACTTCGTAAAGTTTCGGCTCTACGGTGTCAAACACGCTATCGATGGTCCAGGAACGCTTGGTCTCCATGATGGACGCTTTGGCTAGAACAGGGGTTTCTCGCTTTACGTTACAGTAGCCCAGAGTTTCGTAGTATTCGTCGTAGCCGCCCAGGTAGTGCATCATCCCGAATTTGACTTTGACCGGTGCCAAGCCTTTGTTCACCACCGGGATCTTCTTTACCACCACTTTCATAGGAAGAATGTTACCAAGTTCGATTATTTTGTCCCGAGGATTCACTAAATGGATCTAGAAATTGATAATACCATAGATTAAAAATGGTGACGCGTTTCGTATTCATTTCAGAATAGGAAATCAAGTTTCTCGATAGAAGAATTTTATTAATCTTTTTCGCGGTCCAATGGATCCATTATCTTACTTAGTTACTTAGTTATCTTCTAATTGGATAATAGAGAAATTAAATATTTTTTTTTTTTTTCCTATCGATCCGTGGTTATTTTCAGATCTATTTCATTTCACAGGATAAATTTTTTTATTTCTCAACTTGCGCCAATAAGTGTAAGTTTGAGCCTTATTACAGCTTGTAGACTTCCGTTAAAGGACCAGATAATTAATCTTTCGAGAAACTCGTTTGTCACGTTTCCTTTATGGACTCGATCCCGATGGAGAGCCAGATTCGTATTCCCCTTATCTATATACACGAAAGTTTTCATAATTTACTTTATAGGCGATCCCCTCGCCTGTAATCGTTACTCTTCTCTCGTGATGCGAGTTGATCACAAACACCAAACATTCGTTATACTTTATCTCCTTAAATGGTTGAAAAGTGATCGGTATGACGATCTTAGAGTGGGCGGCCAGCGCTTCGGACATGAAATTCAAATCGATGGAGAGGTGGGGTTTGTTCTCGTACGTGCATTCGAGTCTACGTTACGTTAATTGGAACAATGATCAACAAAGTTGTCGTTTCAAAAATTTCCTTACTTTTTTGTCGTAATTGATTGGAAAGCGATTAGAAATTAGAATTTTTTTTTTTACAGAGAGACCCACACATAAGGTATGTCTTCGGTGTTTGTCACGGTAAGCTCCGTCTTGTATGAAACCAATTTGCTCTCGTGAATGTAACAATATCCAAAATCGTAACGATTGAAACTGAATTCGATAGCAGGCCTCTTGGAGAACGCTTTCAGTATAAATTTATATGTGGGACCGCTGGAAATCTGGAGTAAGTTTTTTTTTTTTTTTTTTTTACGAGTCTTATTATTCGATTATAATGTATACGTACTTTCAGCAAAACGCAATGATTTTTTATGTGAATTTTCTGAAACGTTGTCAAAGTCAAGTAACAGACACACGCATTCTTGCTGATTAGATGACCTTGTTTCTGAGACATCGTTATTTCGTACGAATTTTTGTACAAAATTTCTGGCGTGATGCTGAGCTCCCAAGAGTAATAGAACGCCACTTGGCAGGTATTCTTTATGTCGAATTTGACGGTGACCGGTATTTCGGGTATTATCTTCGGTATTAAAGTTCGAAAAAGAAAAAAGGAAAAAATATTATATCACTTTCTATTTCGATTTCATCTTTTCATTCGTTTTTTTTTTTTTTTGAACACTGTGCTCGAAATAAAAATTATTTTTCGAGACAATGTCCACCAAGGTGAAAAATAACTCTCTAAGAGTAACTCGTAAAAGATAGGTTAGATTAGATTTTACTCTCAAATCGATCAATTCGAATTAATTTTCCCAATTTTCACCTTGCCAAAGTCGATAACGTTCTCCTTATTCTTAATAGCTGTCACGGGTTCGCTGTTTGGTAAGCAGTAGGAAATCGAGAGCGAGATATCGTAAACCAAGGCGTTCACGAATATGTTAATCGGGGTTTTCATCAGATTCACGGCGCATTGAATGTAAAATTTGAACTCACCGACCTGGGTTGGATAGTACTCGACCCTGTGAAACGAGAGTAAAAAAACGAGTTTTCATTCGTGCAATTCCGTCCGCGATTTCTCCGCGTGGAAAACCGCGTCGAAATCCGAGAGGAAGGATTAAAAGCAGAGTCGTTTTCTTCTTCTTTTTTTTTCGTTAACGCGTTTGATTCGATTAAGGGGAGAGGGGCGTACGACAATCACCAGAGATGCTGTTCGCACTTGGACACGAGGGTTCCTGTCATTGGGGTGACGCTGACCTTTTGAAATTTACCCTCCGAATAAAGGGATTCTTCCAACACTCTGAATGGTATATGGAAATTCTCGTTGTTCAGCAATTTTATCGATTCTCTTATACTGAGTCCTGCAAATGAATTAAAATATTTTTTTTTTTCTAAGTTTGCTTTTGCTTTTGTAGAAATAAGGAAGGAAGAAACGGTAGAGTAGAGCAGAAAGATAAAGAGCCAGCCTCTCTATCTGCCTCGAACGAGATGAAAGAAAAGAGGAGGAGGAAGTGAAGAGATGCTTCGAGTCGGACCCAAGATTGTTGGCTTCAGTTTCACGTGTGTGGTGAGACAGTACACCGACGGTTCGGTCACGATGCCGACTACGAGGAAAAGGCATTCCAGATTGTATCTCTCGATGGAGAAGAGCCAGAACGTTTCGAAGACGCCGATATCGTTTGCCAAAAACGTGAAAGACATGTCGGTACGTTTCCCGCGTTCAGCGATGCCCTCGGTCACCGCGCAGTAAAAATTCGATATCTCGATCCCGTTAGGACGGGTTCGATTCTTCCACGAGAAATGGTAATCGTCCACAGTAGGATTGACCAGGTGGAATTTTCTGAAATCGATTCGATTTTAATTCGTACGATTCGTTTCGTTTCTTTTTTTTTTTTTTCATCCGAACGATAAGAAAATTCTAATCCTTTCTATTCCTATTATTCCTATTTTACTTAACTCCAAGTTCAATTTGTCTCTCTGGTTAGTGTAAATGGTGGTAGTCAACGAAGTTTTCGTCGCGCACGTTGTTCGACGTGCACTTACCTCACGTAGGTTTCGCCAATGCCGATCGCGTTAAATTCGATTACCCTGATGTTCCGCCATAGATCTGGATCGTCTATTTCGTATCCAACGGGGCCAGGTAGATGCGCGTCACGCCTCCCGCTCGACACGTAGTCGCTCTCCTGCACGTCGAAGTGACAATACGGTAACAAACTTCTTGCCATGACTGGGATCATCAAGATCGGCAGATGCGGATTCAGATTCTCTATCCTGTATTTTTAAAATTCATTATTTTTTTTTTTTTTTTTTACAATGTTTTTGATATATCTTCGTTCTTCTTCGTATTTTCATCCCCCCCCCCCCGGTCCCCTTTTCTTTTGCTCGCATCGATAAAAAAACAGGTAAGTTTTATGAAAAAAAAAAGAAAAAAAAAGAAAAAGAAAAAAAATGAAGATGATTCCTCTCTATATTATACGCGTTATATTATGTATGTACACGCTTTCATCGAATCCGAATCGTACTTGCACGTAAGGTATGCCTTGTAATAAAATACATCCTTGGGGGAGAATTTTAATGTACATTCCTCAGATTTTCCGGGCGGTATCGTCCCCATCTCAGGGTGGATCGCGAACGGCAAATCGTCGCCTTCCAGCCAACTGTCGGTGGTTCTTCCCGACAATTCGGCGGTGCTGCTGAACAGATCCGATGGCCTGGTCGTGCTCATGCCTTTCATATCCATGCTGTCTGCAATTACGAATAATTTTACCACCATTTATTTTCCTTTTATTTTATTTTCCTCTTAATACACTTTCATATATTGGGCCACGCCTTCCAAATACGAATGAGTTAAATTCGGAGGGTGGATACCAGATGGTCTGTGATAAATATCCGTGGTATAGTAGTTACCAGTAACGAACGAGGTGCATTGTGGTGACAAATACTTGGAGTCGTTCACGCTCACGTCGTCCTCGTAATAGTTTCTTTGACTCGTTGCGGACAATGTTCTTCCGAACGATTTTGAAACGTGACTGGATGACTCTGACATTTTCTGCCTCGAATTCACGTTCGAATTGTCCCCTAAGTATCTCTTGGGATACTGCTCGTCCATGTTTATCTTCCATACGTATATCGTGTTCACGACACCCGGATTCGTTAAGGTGAACGTATACTCCCTGGTCTGCGATCAAAAATTTTAAAACGATTATTCTCTCTTTTTCTTTTGCTTTCCGTTTCCGATACTAATAACTTTCCACAAATGGATCATACCTGATACATCAAGGTATCTTTGAAAAATACCTCTTCGACAATGCACGAGTACTCGGAATACGCAACATTGGCGTTTAACAGGAGTTGGAGGATTTTCGTCGTTCCAGGAACGATGTTGTGCATCGACTCATTGGTCGGTTCCACCATCTTCTTCAACAAGTCGTCATTCGCCGATGCGTCGCGATATATCTTCTTCCAATGCACCTCCGTTTGCCTGTCGTCCCATGCAATTTCATCGTCCGGATTCTCTACCAATATTTCGCATATCAAACACTCGATAGGAGTCTGAAAGAGTAAAAATCATTAACTTGGAGGAAGAATTAATTTTATTAAAATATATATATATAGAGAGAGAGAGAGAGAGAGAGAGAAATTGCAATGTGAGATCACTGTTTGATCTTAATATCAAACTTTCGAGAATACGATGAAACGTTTGGAATTATTTCGTTCACGATTCAGTGACAACAGGTTTCATTTGAGGAGAGCGTACGTTCTGGTGGGTTTTCGGCTCCGTTGCCAAGAAAGTAACGATGATCTCTTTGAACGTGAGATACTTTATATGTCCGGTAGAGGGCTCGAACACAACGTGGTTATGCAAACCCCATTGGAAACGAAACCATCGATCCGTCGTTTTATTGATGATCTTAAATGTTTTTTTATACATTTTACTAACGAAACAAAGCCCGTAGTCGAGAACATAGGTGAGATACGGCAGGTACACCGACGTATTGTTCGACTCTGCGAAACGATACATATATCTCAATTTTATTGTAGATATAGAACAGTAGCGCTAATAAGAGTAATCGGATCTCTTCTTTTTCTTTTATTACCCGACAACAAGGAGGCCTGCCTAGACGTTAATTTCCGCCTGTTCAAAGATTCTCGATTGCCCAGATTCGAGATTCTGACTTTATTATCATCGAGGGGAAGGCCTTCCAACACGACCGCCTCCACGTAACAATCCCCCTCCAGATTGATCGTTAGATTCTCGTAAGGATTATCGATCACGTGCAAACGAATTTTCCCGTAGAACTTTCCAATTCTTTCGGGCGCAAACGTTGTTTTAAAACGAGCCACGTTTTTGATCCCCAAGCGTACCACCGTGCATCGATCGTACGGCTCTGTAAAAAAAAAAAAAAAAAAAAAAAAAATAGAAATCGAAGATACATATATATATATATATCGCTCGATCGAACAAATAAATGATTAAACAACCGTTGCAATACTCCTCCGAAACTAGCAATAAATGCTGCGTCTCCGGGGAAGGGAAGAAAGTGAACACGTTGCTCGGATCGTCCACGATTTCAACGAGCACTTTCGCCTTGACGTATCCGGTGTTTTCGAATGTGAAATATTTGTAACTGCCTTCGTCGATCAACGTGCGTGGAAAGGTCAAGCAGGGTGTTTCCCGCATTGCATGGATCGGCTCTGTGATCGCCACTTCCGGCACGCAAGATTCCCCTATCAAATTCACCGTCAACTCGTCCGCTTCCAGATGCGAGGGCAAAACAACTCTTGCGTGAAATTGCGCGTGAAACGTCTGCGCGTGAAACATTTTTAGAATTTAACCATGGATTATATATACATATATATATATATATGTGTGGTTATTTGTATAAACGTGTTCACCTGTATGGTGCTCGGAGTGAAGGACACGGTGAATATTTTTTGATTCATGGGAAGGATCTGTGCGTACATCGGATCTATCACGAACACGTCGAACTTTGTCTTATCGGGTAGCAACGAGTCCTCTATGAGCTCGATGCTTATGTTCACGGGCACTATACCGTAATTGAACAACTTGAAACAAGCCGTGTGAGTACTCTGCACGCAGATATACCGGAAGTAGAGACACTTCTCTTGACGCGCGAACACGGTGTGCGGGCCGATCTGAGGGGAATCGATGGTTGGATCAATTCAACAGATTCCGCGTAGTAACACGCGCATATTCTGGAAAGGGTTGGTAAAAAGAGAATATATCGTATTCTTCGATACGAACATCGAAGGCACAATCGAAGTCTTGAATTCTTTCGATCATGTGGTTTTCGCGAAATATCATGTCGAAGTTTTCGAAATCGATGCAAGGCATGGACGAGGTCACGGATAAAGTGATTATCTTCCCGTCTTTCTCCTCGGGGATGGTATCGGGAACGATAAGCACGATCTGCTCGTCTTGGGAGCCCACGAATTCCGGATAACAAATAATGGCGACACTGTCCATTTCGCCAACGTTCACATCACCCTCCATCTTCGTTATCGTCATCGGTCCCAATACTACTTTTTCCGGTTCCAACAGAGACCTATATATATATATATCGTTCGATATCGATCAAGTTTTCGATCGCTTTCTCGATCGAGTTAAAGAAAAGGAAGCGTACTTATCATTTTTCATGTTTTTGATTGGTTTTTTCTTTTTCACTAGCACCTCGGTTATAATCGGTTTTTTCTTTTCAATCTCTAATGGCCACAGTTTCGTCATGTACATCACGGATGGGTGTTCCACTAATCGGAAGAAATAGTGCAATGGAAATTTTCCCGTGTTCTCGATGTTGATGTACATCGTTTTCTCCGTGCATATGGGCAACGTTCCAAAGTTCACCACCGGGAACGGGTGAACGCGAAATCTATCGTGATCCCGAAATTAAATCTCGTTTTCGTTAACGCGAGAAGGAGAGGGGTTTGAGCAAGCAAAAAAAGATTACAAATTCGTCCCGTAATACCTCGTGTAAAACGAAACGAGGGAAACTCTTAAAGGGATCTCGGCGATTATCGTAATTTTCTTCTGCATGTCGATCAAAGTGCATAATAATATCGGAACTTCCTTGAGCGTCAACTCCATCTTCGGAAGTATTGTTAGCTGTAAAACGAACCGGGGAGTATGGTTATTAAAATTCAATTTCAATTCTGGCTCTTTTTATATCTCTCGTCGAGAGAGAAGAGAAGGAAAAAAAAAAAAAAGAAAAAAGAGAAACCACGAACCTCTACCATTCTCTCCACATGCGGCAAAATGGTTCCACTGCACGACTCGATTTCGACGTTCTTCTTGAAATTAGGAGGCAGATTTAATTCGTTCAGCTTGTCTTTCTCTTGCAACGTTATTCTATACACGAAAATATCATCTTTCGATGATATATACGAATAGAAGAGAGAGAGAGAGAGAGAGAGAGAGAGAGAGAGAGAGAGAGAGAGAGAGAGACGCGAC